CAGTTGTATTTGTTGTTGCAGCAGGATCAGTGGCAGGAGCAGAGGTATTGGCAGGAGCAGAGGTAGAGGCAGGAGCAGAGGTAGAGGCAGGAGCAGAGGTAGAGGCAGGAGCAGGAGCAGAGGCGTCAGCTGCTGTAGCAGTACCAGATGCGCTAGTTGATGTGGCAGGTTCAGTAGGTTCGACAAGAAGTCCGCCGTTATCATCTTTCGCACAATGGGGAGCATGAGGAAAACAAGGTATACAACTTTTCTTGGATTTGTGAAATCTGGAAACGCTGTGGGGAGTGGGATAGCCACGGAAATCATAAATAACATCAGAAGGATCCAAAGCTAGTTGAGCTCTGTACTCTTTGATTGCAATTTCAGCCATATATTTACCAAAATCAAGAACTGATTTGATTTGGACTTCTGAATACTTAAAGCTACCAGACTTGAAGAAAAGAAGGGCATGCATTATGTATTCATTTTTGAAAGGATATGCTGGATTGTCGTTGACATCACCACTCAAATCAAGATATTCATCATTACCATCATCACCACCATCACCATTAGAGCCGTTGTTGACGTCGTTAACAGGAACGGGAGGTTCATTAGATTCGCTATCATCATCAGATTCCCCTCCGTTGTTAAAATCATTGTTGAAATGGTCAAAGGCATTACCACCATCAAATTCTTCTTCACCATCATCACGCCCATCATCATCACCGTCACCATCATAATCATCATATTGATTTCCATCAAATTCATTTGCAGGTTCAGACAATGGTTCGGCAGTGCGTTCAGGTTGGATTGGTCTAATGTATATTGATGTAAGTAATTTGAATATATTTAACAGCCTTAAATAACTTTACCTTTCAATGGACTCCATATCAGAACTACGAGATTCGCTTAGCGGGATAGTAGGTTGTTCGTCAGAGGTATTCCTAAAAATAATAATGATAAGTACAAACTGACTATTTTTAAATTGAAGAAGACGCTCACTTACTGTTGTTCGATGTCATTGGCAGGTAGTGATCCTTGATTGGACTGAATCGCCTCCAGAAGTTCTAAGTGGTGTCCTGATCTTTGATGCACTTTAAAAGAGTGTCGATTGATTGTACTGTATTTACATAACACACACGTTTGCTCCTGAGGCGGTAAAGCAGGTTTTGCACGGAACTTATTTGTTCCAGGTGTTTTTTTCATAGTGCTTTAAAATTAAAGTAAGTTGTTTATAATAAAATAAAGAATTTTGATAAAGTGCACTCTGGGGATTGTGTTTGGTTTATATATCGTTCAGATCAAAATATGTGTTTAATGCTTAGCTTATGCGGACATAAGCTGTCAATTTGATTGGTGCAATAATTTACAAACGTCATTGCGGAACGATATTTTGTCACGCAACCCAACTTTCTTAGGTCGCTTTTCTTTCTCTTACGTATTTTTTTTCAACCGTGGCGTGTCTTCACAAACGCGTGATTATTGCTTGTAATATTATGATGCTTATGAACAATGGTATGTCATAGAACATCTGTCTTAACAATACTATCATAAGGCATTCTACTAATTCTTTTCTCACAGTCAATTTAATCAAAGTCAAACGCGAAAAAGGTAGCTATTTCATGACTTATGCGATAATATAATCTTCTATCCCCTTTTACTTTCAAGATGTGTATCTATAAAGGTATACTTTATTCTGTACTGTGCTTCCCTGTAATAATATATCACTAACAAACGCCTTTTTATTTTTTAGAGGCTCTTTTCTCTTTGAAATACCGTAAGTAATATCTTGGTGATTATTTTACATCCTAAACTAATACATAACGCGTTTCATTTGTCAATAGATATATCGCGTAAAGCTTCATACAAGGTACTATAATTTTAACATTAATCATTATCCATTTTACTAAACACATTATTCACTTTATAAATTAGCTCGTGATACTGCTTAAGCACGGATAAAATGTAAGTACAATATCTACCACAGACACTTGAATATCACATTAATACCTTTTTCCGTAGCTTCAGCTCAAACAGAATCAGTTTTGCGTGGGTTTTCTAGCTTGAATTCACTGTCTGCTATACGTGTCATACGTGGCCTGTCTGGGCTACGTGGTCTGCCCTGTCTGTCAAGGCTGAATAGCCTGCCTGGTCGGCCTGCGTAGCCCCGAGGGGCAAACAGGCGCTTTTTGCCGGTTTCTGATTTTGTGGGCCAATTTTTTATATAAAAAAATTTCGCTTTTTAAGGCAATTTTAAAAAAAAACTATTTTCGTATTTTGTATTTGTATTTTATTGTTTTGTTTGTACAGCAAGGAAACGTAAACAAAACCACAAAACCAAAAAGGAAACAATTTTCATATCTATTTTTACTTTTTTTTTTGGGAAAAAAATGGTCTTGAAATTTTAAAGTTTACACCTGGTTGTGTAGTATTGCAAGGGTTAAAGCCCTAGTTTAATAAACATTTAAAGAATATCCTCCAATACGATCTCATTAAATAATAAGTTTATGATGTTTTCATTCGCCAGAAACTGGAAGTAGCGGTCGGTTTTCATGCAAAAATGGACCGCGACCTCTGGTCCAGGTACAAAATAATTACCGCGACCGCTGGTTCAGGTACAAAATTGTGTACCTCGACCTCTGGTCTAATTTTTTCGCGGTCCAAATAATACTTCTACCGGAAAAAAAATTTGCGGTGGGAGGGTTTACGCAGGGTTGGCCTTTTACCACAGGAGGGTGTGGGCTTTGGCCATTGATGAAGTCAGCACTTGAATAATTTTGGAAACTCTTATCTGTAAAATAAAATGGAGATGGTAAAAAGAAAGTAAAATCGATAAAAATAAAATGTTCTTCTTGGAAAATAAATCGGATTTGGACATTAAATAATCTGATAGAAGGTTTTTGGGCATACAAATTTTACTTCTTCATTTGGACAATTCTGATTTTTTGGCACTGAAGATATGCATACGTTCATATTTATTGTTAAAATTTTAACAGATTCTATTTATAAAAAAATATAAACTTTCACAAATAAAAATCGAATGTCCTTAATCGGAATCTTTGAAAAATAGTTTGATGTGCTTGCGAGGGACCAAAGAATTGCAGTTCCAGTTGGGCAACGTGTTTGTCGTACTTATTGCAGTGATTTAATTTATTATTTTGATCTTAAAACTATTCAATTTAAGTAGATGAAGAAAAGTAATTGGACTAAGCAATAAATTCTAAAGCAATTGTTGTATATACAAAAATAGCTGGATTTGCTTTGTGATGCCTCGTCATCAGACAATGAAACTGTGGACATCCCAAATAGTAAATTCAAAAATGTAAAAAAAAAAAAAAAAAAAAAAAAAAAATCAAATACGAAAATGGAGGTTCGCTATGTACAATTAAGCTTAAGCTTTGAAACCCGAATTTGTATGTGATTTTCAGCTTCTGGAATTTGAAAATCATGCGGCATGTCATAAAGAATGTGAATAACCTTAATTACATTCATTCTGTCATACCCCTTAAATATATTATCGATTATATGTGATTTTTGAAATAATTTATGTCTGAGAAAAAACAATTATATACATGTATTTTATCTGGTTTCTCTGGGATTGGCTCTCTTTTATTCATATTTTTATATATACTAATAATAATTGGAGACCGGAGTACCTCCACTGTAATACGTTTGCGAAACATCGCTTTTAAAGGTATATTCATGAAAGCATTAAAGCTAAAATGAATTTATTTTATTTAGTGTAGACCTGTAAGGGTTTTTAAAATCAACTCGAGCCGAAAACGTATCATTTTATGACATAAAGATGAACATAATCAAAATCAAGTTCTAACACATGCACTGAAAGGCACACCCATCCGAATTTATTGTGAAAGCCATGAATTTGGAGATTATGTATATCAAATTAACTTCATCAAAAGGGGTTTTGTCTGAAGCGTGATACAATAAACACAGTTTGTGATGGACGTCATGACCAAACAAGTGTATTATCTCAAAATCCTCAAATCACGTGCTTTTGTTCATCAGTGAACTTCGAAGGCTAACTATATAGTATTTTAAAAAAAGGGGTTAATTATGTGGAACTCACAGCTAGTGCAGAGGATACCTAACAGAGGCTAGGGCAAGAGCAGAACAGAATGGTTATTTAGGTGAGAACAAGGATGACAAAAATTATATATATATTACAGTTTTATTATATGTTTAAAAATAAATGAAAGCCGAAAAACAATCTATTCAAGAAGAAATGAAAATGTATAAGATCTTAATTACAGAAGTACACATAAATAAACTTGCCTTTATTTGTAACAGTTGACAGGACTAGTAAGCGAGGGTTCAGAGATCAAATTTAACGAGACAGAATCTTAGTCATATTGAGTTCGAGACATATTTGTGGCATCGGACATAGATAGAGATGATGACATGAGCTGGTATTACTTCTGTTATAGAACAGACTTTAAGAACAAGGATACAAAGACAATGGATGTTAAATGTTTTTCACAAGTAGAAGGTATAACGGAGATAAACTATTTGGAGCAGAGACGTTGGACAGGATACAATAGGCATGTTCAACATTTACATGTGCGACAAAAGAAAGAGAACAGGAAACATGTGTTACAAAGACGATGGTCTGGCTTCGTTTCAATAACAATATGAAGCATTTTGCAGGATAGTTTTCAAACCGCAACCATCGGAGTTCATGACCACAAGACTATTTTACGTCTCGGCTATTGTATTAAGAATAGACACATGAACAAATATGCAGACACTATAAAGTAGAACGATAAGCGACATTTCAAGAATTGTTTGAAATAAAACTCTTTATTAAGAATAAAGGAAAGGTGATAATTTTGTCTTGGGGAAGGAATAATGTTTTTGTCATAAAAACGTGCACTCTATTTATACGCGTTAACATGCATGGGAAGAACTAATATAAGTTTAAGCTATATAATTGGACGAGGCGGTTTGTTTTATTGGTAACATTAAGTACTGAGGAGTTGATAATCCAAGATTGGCGAAATTTAATGGACATTGAAAAGGTCAATAATTTGAGAGAGCGAAAAGCCAGACCAAAATTAACGTGTGGATGCCTTTGACAAGATCCTTTGAAGCTGATATGGGATACTGACTTATAATTTAATTCAATGTTTTATACGTTTTTTAAAGAGGGAGGTATTTACCTATGTAATGTTTGTTCCCAGCACTACAGGACGTTTTGGTGAAGACCAGATATATCGCTTTGGTTTCTTTTACAGGGTATAAACCGTTCTTAGGATTTCAATCTTATCTTGTACCTAACAATTAGAACCAAAAAGTTATTCGTTTTGTAATGATTAATATAATATGCAGAGTACTTAACAAAAGCGGGAGCACCTGGTGAAGCAATCAATATGAAGGAGAGAACCGAAACGCGTTAGTCGCTTAAAATACTGATAGCAAACATAGGACTACCGAAAAAAAAAAAAAAGCCTATAAACTCTCAACGGACCTAAATCGACTTGAAGAGAGCGTTTGAACTATTCAGCAAATTAAGAAGCTAATACGTAGGATGGCAAAAAAACGCATTATTTGCTTAAAGTGCTTGTAACCAGCTTCGCATTACTAAGTATTACAGTCTATTAATTCTCAACGGACCAAAGTCGACTTGGAGAGAGTTTTCAAAGAATAACCGTTCGTCAGCGCATCCTTCAGCCCATACAAGTCTTACCAGATTACGCATTCCCCGATGGCAACAGCACATTAATCAATAAGCGTAGGAGTGATCCCTAGAATGAAGAAGAATTCAGAATGAGTAATTATTAGAAATGAAAGAAAGTTCGAGAAAAAATTAAGTCAACAAATACCCCAGTTATTATCTAGCTCTAGAAAAACCCAGTCACACCTGAAAACCATTTTGGCTCAATTTTCCTCAAACTTTCGTCCCATATAGATGGGCCAAGAATACGGCTAATAGTATTAAGCTTGAAAGCGCTAATATCTTAAAAAACAGTATGCTTGTTTTTTTTAAACAGCGCGATTTTTTAGGAGTGATAAAAAAATTGGGGGTGCGGGGTGAACCCTTCAACCAAAGAATACAGCTCATAGTATCAACGTTGTCCCTTTATTTTTTTCTAAAACTTGTCAAATAATAGTGCAAATTATGCGTCCTGTGGTCAAAAAGGTCATGGTCGTAGATCCCACCTAGATGTTCCTCTAAATCCAGTAAACCTAAATACGAATGTAGTCATCTCTTCTTTTTTTTTTTTTTTTTTTTTTTTTTTTTGAAAATACTGACTTTTTTTTAGGTGCCATCTTCATTGAATAACCATGACAATGCACTAAATAACCCAGCCTCAATTACTGGGGTACAGCAAAAAGAAAATTTTTTGCAAGCATTTCAAGTAAGATTGATTCCAATAGGACATGGAGGTAGACGAACCTTAGTTCATTTCAACTTCTGAGCCAGTCCAAGAAAGAATTGTCCGCTGTTCAACATGTCAACAACTTGGGCATTTAAGAAAAACTAGCCTTTTGTGCCGCCAGAATAATAATCGTGCCCACCAGACTATAAATCAAGCAAAACAAACTCAAACACTGCCCAGTAGACATGGTTTGGGAAGAATGATGACGATGTGTTCTGAATGTAAGGTATTCATGTGGGTCGAAGAAAGATCCGAAGCTGGTCTTGACCCAGGCAGGTTTCAACTCTGTTGTGGATTGGGAAAAGACAAAGTGACACCATTTCACCCTACACCAGGAATAATATCCAACGTAATACGCGGAAATGATCAAGGAAGCAAGGCCTTTGAAACCACATACCGTCTTACAACAATACCTTAAGCTTTACGTTACAGAGACCAGGTACACCAAACCAGATTTTGATTTTTTGACTCAGGATTTCCTAAAGTGATTTTAAGATAATAGGATCAAAGCAAACTATCAATGATTGACAGTTAAAAAGATAGGTCAAACTGATAGATTCCCCTGTTGTGGAAGTACCTTGTTTTGAATATACATTCATTATATCCATAGATTTATCGGGATTGCCAAAGGATGGACCGAAAATATTTCAAGAAGGTGCGCAAGTCGTGGCACAGACAGTGTTACGTGGTCGGCGTTTCAATAAAATGTGTCAACTTGCACTCTCACAAGGTTCTGACGAAATAAGCCATTATATAGTCTAACAAGAATACAAGATAATCTTTCATTAGTTTGAATTGAATACTTGTCCACTGCAACTCACTGTCAAACGAGATCAAACTTTAGTTTCTCAACATGAATTTAATTGGGCTATGGACTACGTTGCTCTGATTTGTCTGTGTGATGAGGATATTGTTGACCATTTTGGAAGGGTAGAGAACTATGACTACAATGTTGTATTTTCTTTAGACATACATTTACAAGATATTAAAATAAAAACGAAGCTACATATACCTACAATACAATCCGAAGATACATTAAGGATATTGACACAGACCATAATCTTTTTGAAAAAAAGCATAGGCTCGAATGATTTATTTCGAATAAATTTATCTGCACTTGTAATTGATATTTACGTACCTTTATTGCACATCTTCCATTAACATGATCTATTCCACACGAGTATCTTAAAGTTCCTCATATTGGGGATCAAACGCTCACTTTTGTCATTCACCATATTTTCGTCCTCTTTGCATATCATGTATAACCCCTTCTTGCTGGTGCATATACGTCCAGTCTTCTAAATTCCAGGCAACACAAATTCGTTTGGCGCTACGTACGGGAGGCGACGAAAGTCTGGGTAACTTCTAGTATTGTGATGCTTTATTTCACTAATTGATGTTATATTCCTCTAAATATCGGCAGTTATTTGATGAATCGAGCTCCAAAAAGTTTATTAATACGACTCACCTAAAGATTGGATCAATCAAGGTATATGTTGAATTTATTTGATGCGAGAAGCAATAGAATTTGTTTCCAGATACACTATGGCGGACATAACAGCAGCTGTGAATTAAATGGAAACATAACTGCCATTTTTTTTATTTGCTCGATATCCCCAGCCAATAAGATTTGAGTAAAAGATTGCTACAAATGATCATAATATCATAAAAAAACAAAAATGCTTCAAAAACATCTCTGGAACGGTCAATATGTAGTTTAGATGATATAAAAACTATCTCGAAGTTAAAATTAGATTGGTATATGCCAAAAATTTGATGCGATATTGATCCGAATTTGATGGCTTACCGTATACAAAATGATTTTTTGCGCCTGTGAAGCAAATGGTAACAAACTGCCATTTTTTATTATTTTAAAAACCAGTTTTATTTATAAAGAAGATGTTGCGCCTGGAAAAACTTGCGAATGACAAGGGGTTCAAAATATACCAGTGTAAGAGAATGTGGTGTGCCAAAAGCTTGTTAAGGGAGAGCTTTAAAAGTGACAACCAGACACACAGAAGAAGGGTAACAGTAAAAAATTCTTATGCGGTTTATTTCATCAATATCGTTAACAAGGTAAAAAAAAAAAATGTAGAATCAACAAGATCCCGATAGTTCAGACTCTATCAATGACGCTTTCGAAGATATGGGTCGCTATGAGTCCCCCATCATAGCAGACGTGCTGTAGGTTTTTTTTATTGTTTTTCATGCATGATATATGTATACTCATATGCGATACTTTATTTTTATACATTTCTCCTCCACCAGAGGTAGCGAATGAACCTTCACGTAAAAGAACCAGAAGAAGATAATAGTCGTGTCTGGTCGACATGATTGGTCCATTCTGGTTTTTAGCTTCTTTATTAGTGTGTATTTAGCGTTCTTTTAGCTTACAATTTTTTCTCTGTTTCTTTTACTTTTATTTATCTTTTAAAATGAATAGCCTTCAAATAACGATGGTAAGGGTATGTAGCCCCTTCAAAATAACGGAAGGTGTGAACAAGTATGTTCGAATTGGGTATGTTTGCAATGACTGAAGCAATGACATGTAATCTGTATAAAAAACTAAAGGGAGGTTTTTTTTAGATAAAAATTTAGCCTATTTTCGTTATTTTGATCAAACTAAAGCACTTCTGTATAATATAACCATTTTCCATGGATAATGGTTCTCATCAATAGACGGTTCTATCTTTACAGGTAAATAGCCTTTAAAAAGTTATGTTTTATTCTTATTGATATCATACTGCTTAAATATAGACTATTTATTCTGTGTACCTTTCACTCAAACGAGGACATTTTAGGAACACCACCGGTCAAATAATTATCGACATAAGAACTTAAGGCTGGTAATAAAATGCAGAATTAATTACAATATTATTATTTTCTAACAATACCTTTATAGAGTGTTAAGAGTGTCAAAGATAAGCTAAAGTAACATCCAAGCATTATAATGGTATATCTTATTGCCATGTATACAACCACAAACCTAAAAAAAAAGGTTAAAGTTATATCAAACCCTCCTATACACCACTGAAATATAAATAAACAATCCAATAAAACGTGCTTTACTGCCAATAATAACGATGAATAAGAAAATGTGAGCCTACCAAATATAAAAGAATGGGTCTAAAAGAAAGGTTAAGGGTTTGTCCGTTTAAAAAAAATGGCAGCTGTGAACGTTTTGTTATTATAGAATATCATAACTGCCACTTTTACAAGCCAGGAAAATGGAAGCTGTGAATGATTTGTCTTCAACAAACTAAAATAGGTGCCATTTTTTAAAACCAAAAAACAGCAGCAGTGAACCTCTTGGCTTCATTCAACTGTTAAAGGTGCCATTTTTGCCAGCCAAAAATATGGCAGTTGTGCCTCTTTTGTTATTATAGAATATCATATCTGCCACTTTTGCACGCCAAAAAAATGGCAGTTTTGTGAAGTAAATGGCAGATAGTTGTCATTATTTCCGCCATAGTGATAGGTTTGTCATAAAATGTCGACATTATTCCTACATGAACCCAACCTAAATTTTAATACTTAATAATTTCCCTACAATCTTCATACAGACACAACGCTTGTAAAGCTAAAATGAAAATGCAGATAAAAAATAATTGCTTAAGAATCTCTTCTCTTCAATTGAAAGCTGCCCATTCCATAGTGTATATGCAAAGTGATTTACAAAGTAGTGTCTAAAATGATCTTCAATATTTTAAAGGCGTCTTTATACAAGTGCAAGTTTAGGTCAAAACCAGTATCTCCTATAGTAGCAACATTATAATAGTAAAACATTTCTCAATTAGAGTAATAAAACAATCACAACAAACAAAATGAGGTTTTTCTCATTAGTATTCATACAATTTGCTCGTTCAAAACATTTTTGTCCTGAAAAAAATAAAGAAAAAAGAAAGGGCATGTAATTTTACAACTAAGTCGTCTCTTGAAAATAAGACGGGGTTAATCTTACAAAACTATCAAGATGTATTCATATAGAATTTGAAATGTATCCATGGAAAATTATTCAAAGTGACGAGCGCCAGTTCTTTCAGGACTAGCGAAACCCTGGCAGGTATAACACAATTGACAGTTCTATAAAATATGAGAGAATTGGAAAGACAAAAAATGAAAAAACAAAGCTATCGTTTCAAAATGGGTGAGATTAAAGAACGTTTCGTTATTAGTGCCAAGATACACTCAAAGAACCTCAAAAGTAAGTGGTATCAGAAACAGCCACTTACAATTTGCTGGCAAATACGGTATAATACTCGTTGCTACCGGGATAGACACCGACATCATTAAAAGGTTGCAACATAATATATTCATTACAGACACTAATTAAGAAAAGTTCTTTTATGTTGCCCATCTTCAAACGATACCTCTGATTTTTCTTATTTCATCTGTGTAATTCTCCCATATTTTATAGAACTGTCAATTGAGTGATACCTGTCAGTGTTTTGATAATTATAAAATCATTCGTATTGGTTGCTGTGCATATGTTTCTCATCGATAACTTTCAAATTCTATGTGAATAAGTCTTGATAGTTATGTAAAATCATCTCCGTCTAATTTGGAATAAAAATTCAAGAGAAAACTTAGGTATAAAATTACATGCCCTTTCCTATTTCTTCATCTTTTCCACAAAAAAAGATTTCCAACGAGCAATTTCAATTAAAACCATTATTTTCTCGTCATTTTATTACCGTTTAAATTAACGTGATGCATACTTGTTAATACAAAAATAATAAGTATCCTAACTACACATCACAAGGTGAGCTAACTTTAAGTCACAAAAGTTACAAAAATAGAATTTTTAATAGAGGTGCGGGGTTTCCCTCGCAAGAGAGGAGGGTGGTTTGGGGGGAGGAAGAATCCCTTCACACAAGAATAAAACCCATAGTCTGAAGCATGAATGCGCTAATATTCTAAAAAGCACTATGCTTTTTATTAAAACAGCGCAAATTTTAAGGAGTGATAAAAAATTATGGGTGCGGGGGCTGGGGGTCGGTGAACCCTTCCACTCAAGAATACGGCCCATAGTATTAACCTTGTCCCTTTATTTTTTTCTAAAACATGTCAAATAATAGTGAAAATTGGGCGTCCTGTAGTGAAGAAGGTCATACTCGAAGATCCGACCTAGATGGTCCGTTAAATCCAGTAATCCTAAGTACGAATGTAATAATCTGTTCTTCTTTTTTTTTTTTTTTTTTTTTTTTTTATTTGTGAATACGGACTTTTTTTAGGTGCCATCTTTAGTGAATAACAATGACAATGCACGAAATAACTCAATCTCAACTCCTGTGGTACAGCAAAAAGAAAAAAAAATTGTAAGCATTTTAACTAAGATTGATTCCAAATAAGACAAGCACATGTAAATAGCATAACAAGAATAATTTACATTATCAAAAGGTTGGAACCAGTCGACATTTAACGTTGAAAACAACGGATTTCGCAATGTTGAAAATGGAAAGCCGGTTTTATCCATCAATATTCTGAACATTTTACCATCATATATGTCGTAATACGTTTCTGGAATAACATCTCTTAATCTCCAATCATTTCTTGTAGATTCGAATTCGAGGCGAAGCATCAACTTTTGCAACAAACTTTTGAGAGACTTGTAGGGATAAACTAATTTGGGCTTGTAGATGCTGTTACCATTATATTTTTTCACCTGCTCAAACAAAACCTCATCACAAACATCACCATCCAGCGAGACAAAAGCACATGATTGTCGAAAGGGTGTTTTATCCTGCATTATAATGATTAGAAGTTGCTTTTAAGAACGTTAATTATCATACCTTGGTCACTTCAGGAGCATAGATTGAATGGCATTTTCCGCAAACCGTATGTCTGGTAACACCAGCATCCAATCACTATTAAAATGTTTCTCAACTGTTTTGAACGACTTTGGCAAAGCAGGTTGAATACTATCATTGGCATCCTTCAAAGCCATGTTCAAAAACTAAAGAAGGGTATCAGCAGCTTAATCGGTGAGCCCTTCCTTGACCTTAAAACTGGCAGCAAAAAATCCATACATGTCTGCTTTGATTGTGCCTCAGTTTGTTTAGGATCAACATTTTTCTCGACGTTTGTTTCGATATTCCCATTGCACAAACTTCGTTTTCTTCTTCTTCTCCTTCCTCGTCCTCGTCATCGTCATCTTCCCCATCAACTGCCATGCTTACAACTTTGGCTTCTTCGATATTGTCTTCATATTCTTCGACAATACTGCTGCTTATGTCATTAATGATATCTGTTTGTAAAATTAGTTTGCGATGAAAGTTTTTTTTTAACAGTGTACATAAACCTTGTTCAACGGCAATTTCCTCAACGTCGGTAATGTTCTCTTCAATCTCATTCGTTCTTCGACGTTCTATTTAGGCTGTTAACATTTTTTGTTTTGTTTTTGATCTGAAGAAAGTAAGGGCATGTCTTACTGTTGTTACTGCCAGACATTAGTGCATTGAAACGCATTTGTCTCTCAAAATGGTAGTTGTAGCTGATGATACGGAGCTCCACTCCTTGAGGATTTTTTCTTAAGCATTGGTCGCATTTACAAATATGAAGAATCATTTTGGCCAAAAATAATAAAAACATCTGAAAGGGGAAAAAAGACCTTTTTTATGATGAGATGATAATTCTATTTTTAACTGTGAACCCTTTTTTTTTTCTTTTTTTTCTTTTTTTTTCTTAAATAAAGGTAGCGCCAGCACTACTTTCCTCGTTATTAAAGAGTGCATTTACAATCGAAAGCTACATTATTCATGATATCTTCATATCATATAAAAACAACCTGTTTTATTTTTAGAGCACCTAGCAGTGTTGCTTAAAATGTAAAATTAAGGTCTTCGCCTCGAGTATGTCCTAAACGTTTTGCTTGTCTTAACTTCACGTTTTCCAAAGTTTAAAAAATTGATGTAGCAACATTCATCAATTTTGCTTTCTTCCATAAAATAAACAATGTCAGCTATTTTGACAAGGAAGAAATCGTACAGAGAAAACAAAAAATATCTATCCAGATACACACAACGTTTTTAGTGCTCTTAAGTGTAAGAGTTTTTTTTAAGTGTAACTGCTGCAGTGCTCTTACAGTTCTGGTCTAACCTCTTTTGTGATTTCAGATGACCATCGATTAGAATTTATTGTTCCGACGGTTTCCAAAAACTAATTTAATATTGAATTTAAAGAATCTGTTCACTACAAGGCGATACCCATTTGAACGATTATTGGATATCATACACTATAGCTCCTTTTTGCGTACGACATGATTCTCTTCATTTTTTGATGGCCTAGACTATTTAACCGGCTTCTCATTTTTTCATAAAAAAAAGAGGTCCAAATTTTCCAAAATTCCTGCACCTGTTCCATGCAGATAGACACTGTTTTTTGCACTGTGTCATGATCGTGTCACGTAGATGCATTAACTTTGGTAATTCTTTGTCAGCACCTTCTCATCTACGTGTCAGCTATCAATCATCGAATATCTGTCATAAATAAGTAAGGACTTGCTAAACTTTGTCGTTGCTTATTTTATGCTAAATGACTATACCATCTTTTACTATACGTATAGCATAACTTTCCCTCATCTTTCTTCCACTTTATCAGATGTTTTATGTAATAATCCTCTCTCCTCTTTTGCTCTTTGTTTTCTTCCCTCTTTCTTTTAATAATTATAGTAATTATCATTTATTTTTTTGTTCTTGTAAGCAGTTATTCTTCTTTTTGTCCTGAGGGCATGTCCGCTCGTGACAGCAGGCTTGGATAATATTCTCTGTGCCACCTTTGGGAACAGCAGGGAAAATTTGACGAGAGTCACTGCCATAAACAATTAGTCTCCCTCTGAAGGGTACTGTACCAAAACGTGAATCCAGATTATTCATAATGTCTCTGTAACATTTATCAGCAGTTTCCATAATATCACGACTGATCATTGGAGCTTCG